GAAGTTGCTGTATCACCGAGTGTTTCAACAACTTGTGCATGAGCCAAGGCAGATGGACGAGACATTGAGAACAATCCAATAGCAGCAGCTAGAATACGACTGCTGACACAATTTGGATCGGAGGCGAGAAGACGAGATAGACTGGCTTTGATACCACCAAATTGCTTGTCATTGTACCTGATGAAAGGAAGGATATAGTCGAACATGCAAAGACAATCCTCGTGACCAACTCACCAACCAACATATTGCGTCAGTGTTGCATCGAACAATTTTGCTGTTTCATTGCTTGTCGCATCAATTGGAATTCCGTCATTATGTAGAGTTTTGACATCACGCCAATGGTCTCGAAACGGCATTTCGAAAAACGAATTTTTATTCTCAACTTGCTTGTTGCTCTTAAAAATGATTCTTTTGATATATCTAAGATAAAATAGAGATGTGTTTGTAGATGTGAAAGAGAACACATGCAAAAGATTGCATTAAGATAAAAATCGGGCAGCACACGCTTACGATAGAAGTACGAATGCACGAAGTAACTACTGCAGTTATTTATTCTTTTCTTGTATGTTCCGTTACATATCCAGGAACTTCGACCAAGTTCAAAATACCAATCCTTTTTATAATTATTTCTTCATCAATGAACATAGTTAAACGCACAAGACACAGATTTCAAAACAACATGAAAAACTATCTCCAGGATTGTGAACGAAATATTCGATGATGAAATTGATTGCACCTTGCGTTAGTTGAACATTAAGACAAGATGCTTTCAAAAGTATTTCCAGTGACGAGTTGCTTAACTTGTTTTCATAGCCAAGATTTAATTCGTCGTAACGCACTAAACTTTCTTTCCGCTGTGTTGGATCCAATTGTAAACATTCCGAGTATCTGATACAATTGACACCAGGCCTCGAAACGTGCTGCTCGGCCTAGTAGTCCGGTTCCACCCGGCCCGATTGAACGAAATATTTTGTCAGGTCGGATTGGGCCAGGCAGGCCACCTTTTCTGTCAGACCACCCGGCCGGGTGATTTTATCCTTTTGTGACATAACTTTTTCTGAGATTTGGCTCACCCCTGAGGGGGATAGGGAGAAGCTTCTCTATGCTATCTCCCTTGGTCATCACTTTTTATAAAAGCCGAAAAATATGAAATAGCTGTCTATTGAGATAAAAATCTTTG